TATGGCTGAGGGTATAAAAAACGATACACCTAAAACGCACAGATTCCGAGGAATTTTAATGCGAAAATTTCCAAAAAAATTTGTTTACCTTCCGATGTTAACTTTCAACACGCCGATACACGAGCCTTGTTTTTAAGCTCTACTTCCATAAGCTGGTACATTTTTTGCAATTATTTTATTTTTTTTTTTATATAGTATATGCATGAATAATTCGTGGAATTACTAAAAGCTAGCAAAATTGCCCCACATCGAGTGCATTTTTCCTTTTTCATTCATTATTTTCACTCTACAAAAATCCAAACCCCTTTAACATTTAGACAAATAAATACCCCTTAGACAAGTTAAGGCGACTTGCTTAAGGCCTCCAAACGCGTAATTAACTTACTTATACATGTGTTTTACATTAATGTGTATTTTATTGCAGTATATATATTTTATTCGAATAAAAAATGTATTAAAAGCTCATAATGTAACATACCTATGTTATTTTATTACAATTCGCCAGCTGTTGCCGAAGGACGCTAAATGTGAGTTACAAGGGAGGACACAACTTCAATAACACATATGTATGCACGTGTGTAAAACAAATGAAATGACTTTTTAACAATGCCTAAAATCTGATATATTTTTAATTTGACATCAAAACGTTTGTGTTTGTTAATTCCGAACTCGCGTGTTTTTTTTTTTTTTTTTTTTTTTTTTTGCTGAAATAACAGCTATTTGGCTATTTGGTGTGCAAGAATATAGCCTTCAAAATGCCCCGTGGCGCTGGGGTAAAACAAATGTGTATTGTATAAATTGCAAAATATTTATGAACACTGATATATTAGTCGGAGCCAAACAAATTTTCCGGAATTAAAAATACTCGGGTCCGATTTCGACTATTATTTTTCGTTTCTTATTTTTCCCTGTGCTGTGTTTCCAATTATTTTCTAAGGCTGGATGGTTAAAATTTTTGAAGATAAATACGTCGTAAAATCTTGCAGCTATTTTTACGCCCTTCACCATAGTATGGAGGGTATATTAAGTTTGTCATTTCGTTTGTAACATCTCGAAATATACATTTTGAACCCCACATATGTTCTTGATCAGCATAAAATTCTATGTCGATTTAGCGATGTCAGCCCGTCTGTCTATCCATCTCTTCGTCCGTTATGTGGAAATCACTCTAGCTTCCGAACGAAATGAAGTAGGTTGATAAAATTTTACTCAGATGTGTGTTTGTTCTGCAGGACTTTAGATATTGAAAATGAAATATTGAATTAAAAATAGGTCCACATTTTGGTAAAAATTGCAGTAAATTGGTAACATATGTTCCTATTATGTAAGAAACATCCTTGTAAAGAACTGTCAATGTGTGTATACGTCTTTACATAGTCCCCAATAACTTTATCTCCAAATATTCGGTATTTCGTATTTTTCGGTATAAACTTGAAATTTCTAATGGGTACTACATCCTATGACAGAAAATTACACATATAGATACACGTCTTCGTATAGCCCGCATAGAACCGCGCTTCCCTATACAGGGTGAGATAAAACAACAGCAACAAATCCAAACGCCATCGTTTTTAAACTTTTTTTTATAAATTTTATTGAATGAAAGCAAAAAAGTTCGGAAATAGCATCAAATTTTAGAAAATGTTTAGATTTGTTCGAATTGGACACCTTTGGTACAAATTATGTCCTTCATACGGCCAATGAAACCGTCACACGCGCACGAATGTTGCTCTGCGGTATTTTAGACCATTCTCGGCGAAGCGCTTGCTTGGGGTGATCGACACTTTGGTATTTTTTAGTGCCAACATTGCTTTCCAAAATACTCCAGACACAATGAATGCGGATTGGAATTCGGAGATTTTTGTCGCCATTGTGCGCTAGAAATGAAGCGAGGAACCTTATTTTGTAACCATTCTTGGGTAGCGCGTGCTGAGTCGGAATGTTGAAATGTCCAAGGTCTGCAGCCAAAATGTTTGCGTGCCCAAGGCTTTAATACACTCTCCAGAATATTTTCGTGATAATATTCGGCATTTATTCTGATGCCACGGTCGTTTAACACGATCGGAGCGCCATGTCCGGCGCTTGAGTTCTGGTGGCCAACCGAAGGTGCACATTTTCAGCTCACCTCTTTGGCAAGTAAACACGATCATTTTGTTTGTTTACAAACTGCTGGACAACGAATGTTTTCTCCACGGACAAAACAAAATTCCCCAGTTCACCGCTTTCGGCCAACGAAGCAACTCTTTACCTCTTTTGAGTCTATTTTCTTTCTGTTGCGGTGTAAGTTCTTGCCCTTTTTGGAATTTCAATGGCTTTACCCCGAGCTCATTTTTCAATATTTGCCGAATGGAATATTGCGATATGTTCAACTCACGAGCCTTTTTTCGGTCACTGCGACGCGGGTTTCGATCAAGTCGCTTCTTTACTTTTCGAACCATTTCTGCTGATGTTGCTGTTTTCTTCCGTCCACTTCCTTGACGTCGGTCTACGCTACCAGTATCACCGTAACGAGCGATGGTACGAGACACAAAAATTTATTCACATTTAAATGCTGGAGTGATCTAACGATAGCCACTTGTGGTTTTCCAGCCAAATATAAAGAAATGACACTATCACGCTTGAATTCCATCACGAATTACTTTTTTTCTGGAAAATTCTCATAAAAATGCTTTTGTACGCTTGTTAACAATATAATGAGCTGTCACTGGAATAATTTTAACAGCTGTCGAACAATTGGCTTAGAAATGACAGCGGTCTGAAATTTTTTGCAGTTTTTTATCTCACCCCGATAACTCTCGAAGGGAATAATCGATTTGATCGAAACTTGGTATATCGTAATATTATTGTCAAACTTAGATCGAGTTTGGATATTGGCATTATCCGTCAACTCTTTCTGGTACCTCCCCCTCAAAAGGTCAAAATCTTCAAATTAAATATTTTTACGTGTAGAACGAGAAAGGATCATTTAATTTTGTGCAAACTTTACAAATCCCAATAATATCATCAGTATTAGGTACGACTAATCATAACGCAGAGCTAGGAATATTTGGGGACATAACAAAAGTTGTTTGGCCCAAGGGCAAACCCTTCTAAAACTGGTGAGAATCGGTTAAAATTTACGTATAGCTCCCATATATTTTTTCAATCGATTGTGTGCACCAAATGACCAGTATCAGCCCAAAATGACCTGAATTTTGGTACATCCGACCGAATTCAGTCTAAAAGCAAGTACATCAAATTTGGAGAAAATCGGTCCAGGTATAACTATAGCTCCCATACATATGTTTCATCATATTTGGGTTTTTAAGTCTCTGACAAGAGTAATATGCACTACGCAATAATTATATTTGATACCGGGCTTCGAAAACACCTCTACCAAATTTTATCGAGATCGGTTCAGATTTTTATATAGCTTCGATATACATCTTCATCCGATTTTATAGCTATTGTTCTCCATATACAGGATGAGATTAAAAAAATGAAAGCCACTTCAGAATGCTGTAATTTCTACGCCACTCGTCCGACATATATTAAAATTATTCCAGTGACAGTTAATTATATGGTTTACAAGCGTACGAAAGCATTTTGGTGAGAATTTTCCCGAAAAAAAATTATTTGTAATGGAATTCAAGCGTGATTTCTTTATATTTGGTTGGAAAACCACAAGTGGAGCACGTTAGAGCACTCCAGTACTTAAATGTGAATAAATATTTTGTGTCTCGTACCATCGCTCGTTACCGTAATACGTAAAATTGAACTCGGGGTAAAGCCATTGAAGTTCCAAAAAGTGCAAGAACTTACACCGCAACAGAAAGAAAATGGACTCAAGAGAGCTAAAGAGTTGCTTGGCCGAAAGTGGTAAATTGCCAAATTTGGTTTTCTTCGATGAGAAAACATGTTTACTTGCCAAAGAGGTTAGCTGAAAATGTGAACCTTCGGTTGGCCACCAGAACGCAAGCGCCGGCCATTGTGATAATGTGGGCCGCCATAACAGCCGATGGTCGCACTCTGCTCGTTTTAATCTACAGTGGCATCAGAATAACTGCCGAATATTATCGCGATAATATTCTGGAGGGCGAATTAAAGCCTTTGGCACGCAAACATTTTGGCCGCAGACCTTGGGCACTCCAATAGGACTCGGCACGCGCCACTCAAGAATGGTTACAAAATAAAGCTCCTCGCTTCATTTCCAGCGCACAATGGTCACCAAAATCAACGGATACCAATCCATTGGACTACTGTGTCTGGAGTTTTTTGGAAAGCAAGGTTGGCATAAAAAATACAAATAAAGTGTCGATCACCTCAAGCAAGCGCTTCGCCGGGAATGGGTCAAAATACGGCAGAGCAACATTCGGGCAGCGTGTGACGGTTTCATTGGCCGTTTGAAGGCCATAATTCGTGTTAAAGGTGACCAATTCGAACAAATCGAAACTTATTCTAAAATTTGATGCTATTTCCGACATTGTCTGCTTTCATTCAATAAAATAAAAAATGTAAAAATTATGGCGTTTGATTTTGTTGCAGTTTTTTATCTCACACTGTAGTCTGTCCCGCCCTACTGTTGACCTTTCCTTATTGGTTAGCGGTCAGGACAGTTAAAAATAGATCATCATGTGATTATTTGTTGAATAATTGGTTTTATAAATTTATTTATTTTTTTCATAATATAACAACCAAGCCGCATTAGGTCATAAACTAAATTATACAAACTCTTAAATGTCTTACCATATAATTCCCTAACAATTTTAAAAACATCAACGTGTTAAATAACTATCAATATTTATGAAAATATGTGGATAAGTTCATTCGATAGAATCGAATATTATCAAATATACGGGTAACCGAGCCTCTAACCCACGGAAAAGATATTTCTACATAATTAGGGTAAAAATACCTATATTTTATAAAATAATAAATAAATAAAGTTCAAGTGATCCGATCCTTTCTTTCCATAAATTCATTATTATCCTAAATTTTTCAATAATAGTAAGAGGATGGTTTTTATACAAGCAATCATTTAAAGGCAGTATCCGGCGATTTCATTCAATGTACAACCTTTTCGACAGCATTCATCATAGACTCCATTCAAATGACGTTGTCTGCGAGTCTTGGCTAGACCATTCAATCCCTCGCCAGACAACATATCACTGAGCAGGGAACTGGATTTAGGGTGTGCCTCATTGTCGATTTCATTTGATCCAATTACATCCAATAATCCATGATGAACTGCAAGGAAAAAGTGTGTTAGACTTGTTTTACCTTACCAAAATTTTCATTATCTTACGTAGTCGTCCCATGGACTTTTTACTCATCTGCATGCCATAGAAACCATCTACACACACAGCGTCCAGAATCTGAACCAAATTTTGGCCACAGAAACGAGTTGCTGCCGATTGAATTTCATAGCAAAGGGCCAAAAATACCAGAGCACCAAGAAGTTTCATTGCAGCAATTTTTTTTTTCGTTAGATCCAATTCCTGTAACGCACTGCAGCCAAATGTGATTGTAAATCATTTTCCATTCAATATTTATAGTAATTTATAATGAAATCTGTGTATGTATTCCGATAAAAATAGACCATACAACAAATTGTATTTACATGTAATCATAATGTAGTGTAGCTTGTCTTATAGGTAACTCATGCAAACACATACGATGACGTAAAATTGTATTCAAATTGACTTAATTTTGCCTACCTTGGTATGATTTAAACTAATTTATATTCCGTCCAAACCTCAACTCTTAAGTTTTGAGATTAAAGAAATATTAATATCAATGTATGTATGGGTAGCGGCGTCATAAATTTGGATCCTTCTTCTAAGTAATACAATACATGACTGAACTTCAACAAAGTATTATATATAATCGATGGGTTGTGTCTGTACGTCCGTCCACATGTCCTTGCACAATTGCAATCTCTCTGCAGATCACAATTATGGTCCAATCATATTGAAATTGTAAATGCCGTTAGGCCTTACTTAAAATGAAAGCCTCTAATTTTTAAAGATGACAGCAAAATAGTTAGATGAGCAACTTTCTCCTCAGCCTTTATAGAGGTCATAAGTATGGACCAATCTATGCTGAATTTTAATGGCCAGAAGGCTATTTGGATGGAATAACTTTTAAATTTTCAACTATTTTCAGTCCTAAAATTTATTTCCCAAGAAGACAACAATACATGGAAGTACAGGGTTGTCCATATTCGACGGACCCATCTGGCAACGCCATAACTTTTGACAGAGATGTCATATCGCTTAATGACATACCGCGTTTGAAGCGTCAGTCCAAGCAGATTTTTACCATGAACCAATACACGCCACGCGAAATAGTTGAAATTTACATTCAACAGAAGAAGTCAATTGTGAAAACTCAACGTGCTTTTAAAACATTAAAAATGTGAGAAGTGCGCCTTCTAAGAACACCATTAAGCGTTTATACGAAAAATTTTCGACTGGTAAGGCTCTTTCTAATCCGAAGAGTCCATATAAAAGTCGACCAAGGCGATCGGCGAGATTATCGTACCGTACGAGCCAGTGTTGAGAGGTCCCCAAGAACATCCCAAAAACACCGTTCTTAGCAGTTGGGCATGGCTCGGTCCACTTTACAACGGATTATTCGCATTGATTTGCATTTGTTCCCGTACAAAATTCAATTGACGCAAAGAATGTTGCCTGCGGACAAGCCTCGTCGATTGGAATGGGCCCAAAGAGTCATGGGTCCGTCGAATATGGGCAACCCTGTATAGCAAAATATATATACCCTCAGTCATATAACTAGAGAGGGTACATATCATTTGATACGGCCAAAACGTGCCCCAAAAACCCTAGGTCGCTTTGGACCAACTCCGTTTCAGAACATTTGGAGTCGATTCAGAGGTCTCCATCGTGGTGCTCACGATAACTGTAGAAGGGAGTATCCGATTTGTTCCAACATTGGTACATCTTAATATTATTATCAAATTTAGGTTGAGTTCGGAGATGGGCAATATCGGTAAACACCTTCTAGAACATCCCCCACAAAAGGTCGAAATTATCAAAAAAATATTTTACTGCACAGAAAGAGGAAGGAGAATCCGATTATGCTCCAACTGGGCAATAGCCAATATTTTAAATAATTACGTCCCCCACATAGGGATAAAATTTTGAATAATTGTATAAAATGTGAGTCTGATTGCCTTCAAATTATGCATATCTCAATATTTTTTATTAACCCAAGGTCTGTGTGATGGAATATATCGGTCCACTCCATTTGGTACTTCCCCCATTAAGGGTCAAAGTTTTGAATAACCCACATAACAATCCTGTGCTCTTCATATTTTGGACATCCCATGATTTCTACTAACACAAGATTTGCTGTGAAGATGGAATATATCTGTCTACTCCTCCAGGTACCTCCCCCACAAATAGTAGAAATTTTGAATGTCAGTGAAGCTCATACAACGCGAAATTCAAGCATTCAAGCGTGATAGTGTGATTTCTCTATATTTGGCTGGAAAACCACAAGTGGTTATCGTTAGAGCACTCCAGCATTTAAATGTGAATAAATCTTTTGTGTCTCATACCATCGCTCGTTACCGTGATACTGGTAGCGTGGGCGGACGTCAAGGAAGTGGACGGAAGAAAACAACAACATCAGCAGAAATGGTTCGAAAAGTAAAGAAGCGACTTGATCGAAACCCGTGTCGTAGTGCCCAAAAAACGGCTCGTGAGCTGAACATATTGCAATATTCCATTCGGCAAATATTGAAAAAGAGCTCGGGGTAAAGCCATTGAAATTCCAAAAAGTGCAAGAACTTACACCGCAACAGAAAGAAAATAAACTCAAAGGAGCTAAAGAGTTGCTTCGCTTGGCCGAAAGTGGTGAACTGCCGAATTTGGTTTTCTCCGATGAAAAAACATTCGTTGTCCAGCAGTGATCGTGTTTACTTGCCAATGAGGTCAGCTGAAAATTTGCACCTTTGGTTGGAACCCAGAACTCAAGCGCCGGCAATGGTGATGGTGTGGGCCGCCATAACAACCGATGGTTGCCTCCGCTCCGAATACCGAATATTATCGCGAAAATATTCTGGAGGGTGTATTAAAGCCTTGGATACGCAAACATTTTGGCCGCAGGCCGTGGACATTCCAACAAGACTTCACCATCGCACTCAGTACGCGCCACCCAAGAATGGTTACAAAATGAGGTTCATGCGCACAATGGCCACCAAAATCTCCGGATACCAATCCGTTGGACCATTGTGTCTGGAATATTTTGGAAAGCAATGTTGGCATTAAAAAATACCAAAGTGTCGATCACCTAAAGCAAGCACCACGATACCGCAGAGCAACATTCGGACAGCGTGTGACGGTTTCATTGGCCGTTTGAAGGTCATTATTCGTGCCATGGTTGACCAATTCGAACACATCTAAACTTATTCTAAATTTTGATGCTATTTCCGGCATCTTTTACTCAATAAAATTAAAAAAAAATTGAAAATTATGGCGTTTGATTTTGTTTCAATTTTTTTATCTCACCCTGTGTGCATCCAAATCTGAACCGATTTCGACAAAGTTTGGCAAATGTCAATCTACGATATGTAGGAAATTGATTATTATAGAGTGCATATTACGACTATGGAGGACTTAAATATAAAGTCGGATGAAACATATATATGGGAGCTATAAATATTTTTGAACCGATTTCCGTAAAATTTGACGTCTTTGAAATTTGACAATTGAAGCGGGCCCGTCTATATAGGCATGAGTTTTAACACAGTCACACAAAAATAGTCTAAAGACATGGCATCAACCAATCTAAGCGCCAATTAACCGATCCCGAACGCGAAATAAAACGTTCGCCGAACTTGCCACTCAATAAATCCATTGTAACGTGTTATATCTCTAGCTGATATTCGCTCCGAAATCGATAATTTAATGGGTAGATAAAAAATGAGATTCGTCGCTGAATAGAAGAAACCCAAGATGATCATTCTTAACAGAGCGTGCATTTTGATAATAAAATTCAACGATTTGCAAGCACTGGTCTTTTGTAAGACCAGCGGTGAATTTTTAAGCCAAACTGAAGATTTTTGACAGCGAAGCAAAATATGGAATATCCGTGAGCTGTTTTAACGAAAGTTGCCAAAAATATAATAGCTAAAAATGTACCCGTCACTTGTATTAAAAAATTACGCTTGTTAACTTACGTTTTTATCTAGAATACTCTCAACACATCATATCAAAATGTATGTACTTCTCAGTTTGCTTTCTTTTGCCGGACATTTGTGTTAAAAACGGCACATACAGTAAAATGTTGAAACAATTGTTGCATATTATTGAGTAAATATGTATATGTTTTGTCTGCTCCGTTCTATTACAACAATAAAAAAATATTTTTTTTTCGTAGCCCTTTATTTGCTAATTATCAATTAATTGTCAGTATGCCAGAGAATAATTGATTAATCATATACTTTTGCATAAACATTAACTTATAGACAGTATCCCGCAATTTCATTCAAGGTGCAACCTTTTCGACAGCATTCATCATAGACTCCATTCAAGTGGCGTTGTCTGCGTGTCTTTGCCAGGCCATTAAATCCCTCACCAGACAACATATCACTGAGTAGGGAACTGGATTTAGTGTGTAACTCATTGTCTACTTCATTCGGTCCAATTACATCCAATAATCCGTAATTCACTGGAAGCAAAATTATATGTCACACTTGCCGCTTACATTATTATTATTGTTGTTTCAGTTACTTACTTTGTTTACCGATTGACTTTTTACTCATCTGCATACCATAGAAACCATCCACACACACTGCGTCCAGAATCTGAACCAAATTTTGGCCACAGAAACGAGTTGCTGCGGATTGGCTTTCATAGCAAATAACCAAAAATACAAGAGCACCTAGAAGTTTCATTGCGGCAACCGAAGTAGTTTCTTTTAGATCTTAGATCGGTAACAGGCTGCAGCCAAATGTGATGGTTAATGACTTTGTATTGATTATTTATAGTTAAATCCATCAAATTTCCTATTGGACATATACACGTGTAATAGGTTGAGGGCGACAGTATTTAAATTAGTCACATGTAATTATGACGTATGTTATCCCAATTAAACAAATATGTAAATTTGTTTACCTTAGCTTAAATTTAGAACACAGCGGAATTTTCCCTCGAAATAAAAAGTTTAACTTAACCTCTGATTATGAAAATCGACATGTATTGTTTGAAAGGAGAAGGCCACTTTCACACAGTTCAAAATAAACAATAGAATGGATATGATAATGAAAAAATTGACTTATTTTAATAAAATAATAATATTCTTTATATTAACAAGTGAAAAGTATATCCTTATTTATCGAAATAATCAGGAAAGACCCATATTCAATAGGTCCTTAGACAAAAGAAATCCGCTCTGCAAAGTTTTGTCTGTATAGAGAAATAAACCTCTAATCGCATAAATAGAAGGTTCTATATAGAGCGTAAAAACGAGTCCAAA